ACTACTATATAATATTTTCAACATCATTATTCAATTTTATATCATTATTTTAGTATCATTTTATTGTCCTCATTGTTGCTGTTGTTGTTATTGTTATATTAGTAGTATTCGTATTAGTATTAATAATATTGTTGACAGTGTTGTCTGTTCTGTTTCTGCTTTTCTTACTGTAAATATTGCGTTTTATGCGAGGGCTTACAATAATTGTGACAGCTAAATCACTTGGCTCTTCGGTCATTTGCAACACTGTCATTCTGGTAGAATTTGCTTTTATCACTTACAAGTGTAAAAAAAAAAATTGAGAGGTTTGCTTGTTCTCTTATGTTTAATTTCGTTTTCTTTCAAAGTTGTTGTATTTTTAATAGTTGGGAGGTTGTTTTTCAAAATTGTTGGGGTTTGTTGTTGTTTGTTTTGTTTTTTTGTTTTTGTTTTTGGGGGTGTGTGTGTGTGTGTGTGTGTGTGTGTGTGTGTGGAGGGGGGTTGTATGGGGGTGTTTGTTTGTTTTTGTTAGCCGGGTACTAGCGAAAATGTTATAATATAGTACTTAGTAGACTGCAGTTTTATACTGCTCACTGCAAGCCTCTTAATATCAGCAAGGGTTGTTATTTTTGTCTGTTTTTGTGTTTTGTTTCGTTTGTTGTTGTTGTTGTTGGGGGGTTTTTTGTTGGGTTTTTATCCTGGGGTTGTTGGGGTTTTTTTTGGGGGGGGGGGTTGAGGGGGGAGGTTGCACGAAGTTAGCTAATTTTTAATTCAACCAAGTTTTTAATGGCATTTTTTGTGCTCTATAAGTTTAATTGTGTTGTTTTAAAAAAGTCACAAAAATAGCCATGAACGCATATCAGCGACGTCTACATGAAAACGATTTTTTAAATCATCTTGTATATGTGTGTGTTTAGATTACGCAATTGATTTTTGAGCGTTTGAATTGTGGGAGCATCTTTGTGTGTGTGAGTGTGTATTTGTGTGTGCCTGTGTGTGTTTGTGTAAATGAGTGTGTGTGTGTGTGTGTGTGTGTGTGTGTGT